AGTGTGTACATAGGGTAGAGTAGACATAGTGAGGAGCGTAGAGTAAGAGCATAGCAAATGCTCATCCATTGATCTTTCTCGTTATATGTTTACTAACTTGTTCCTGAAACAATACGCATTCCACGCTTTAATCGCTCACCGTTGCCGTTAATTTATTCGATCATGCCACCTCCGGCCTGCGAATGTACTGCATTGGATATAGCTGGTGAGTATGTTGTATTCAATTTTGCCACATTGTTACTCCGCATCCGTTTATTCGCTCCATCCATCATCTGTGCTCGTTGCAATTCCATCCACATCATGTGTCGGTCATCCGACTGCATTTATAATTAACTAGTTATCGTTGTGTAGTACGCGTCCCTGTTTTGAAACATTACCTAGACGAGACAGGTAAAAAAGCGCAGAACGGTTTTATCTTGCGTTCGGCTCCAATTCGCAATATTATTCTTATCAAAGCAATGATTTATTTAGTGGCACCGTTGAAGCCATCACCAAAGAGGCAGAAGGTCATAATGGGTATGCATTTCATCCTTGTTCGATCGCACAATTGAAAATTATGGGTTGAAGGCTGATTCGCTTTCCGATGTCTAAACAGAAAGGAATTCTGTACTTCACAAAGGGGATGGTCTTCCCATTGGTGATAGCAACTTTGAAAACATTGTGAGGGAAAATCGGACCTTTCTTGACAAGACGTTCTTAATTGCGGAATTCTTGGAAAACAATGCACGTGTCTCTCTGGTCTTGCGGCCAAGGAGGTTTGGAAAGACCACAAACCTAACTATGCTGGAAAGATTCTTTGCTATACCTCTACATCCGGACAATGAAGATCACCGTAAGGATCTGTTCAAGGACACAATGCTAATGAAGCAGCACCCAGACTTGTTCCATGAACACTTCTGCAGATATCCGGTTATATATTTGTCTCTGAAGGTATGAAGGCAACCTCTGGGTTAATGTGCAATTTGCATTTCAGACTTCTTTTTTTTTTAAAGGTTTGCATTCTAGGGCTGCGAGGGCTTTGGAAGCTGGGTGACAATGCAAGCCAAGCTGTGCAAATTGCTTGCAGAACTATATCAAAGATATTCCTACCTA